ATGAAAATAATAAATTTTACCATAAATATTAAAATATTACATTATATAAATATATAAGTAAAAATATCTAAAAATGAAAAACCGAGTTACCACTTCAGTATTAGTGACGTGTCGAAATTTCCGGTTCGTTACCGAACCGATAAGCACGGCTGGTCGTCGGCAAGTTATAACTACCTCTCGTGCTTCGAGGGGGCAGCCAAAAAACTCAGCCCCACCGTAGGGAACCGTACAGTAGAGACGCTCACACAAGACGACAACGCGCTAACGTGGCACCTACTCATTCAGTTATTATTTATCCTTTTTTATTTCTCTACAGTGGGCCACTCTGTTTTTTCTCCATACAGTGGTTTCGGTGAAAAATGGAGACTAGCCCACAGCACAACTATACAATGAATGCACACAGATCTGCTTTTCCACCGTTTTCTCTTTGCCCCAAAGTTTGATTTATTTAATACTCCTTAATAAGATAAATTACACGTATATTTGAATAATTACAATCACACCTATTAACTATAAATTTTCTTACACGTTCACTATCATGGTATCAAATTTAGTGGAATCTTCTAAATTATGTGAAATATTTTGAAACTGGGTCTCTTGGCTTGTAAATATCAGATTGTGGCTCATCAGAAACTGTGTTTTTGCACAAAATGGGTACAGACTAGAAAACGAACACGAAATCTAAAAGCATCTGTTGAATTTAAAACTATAAGGGTACACGTGTAAAAAGATTCATATTGAGGGGCTAATAGTAATTACCCAAATATAATAATATTTAATTTATGGACAAGTGTCATTAAATATTAATTGTTTTCTATAAATTAAGGATAAGATCGGTGTTATTGTTTACTAGTACAGACCAAAGTTTAAGGTATACGTGTCGTGAATACCGAGAGTTCCAATTGTGGATAAGAAAATATAAGTATAAATTGTTTAATTTCATTTTACACCCTTGAAATATTTTATTTTAGCCATCTGTACCCACAAAAATTATTATAATAACACTTTGCACACTAAGACACGACAAATCATTCAAAATGACCCTTGAATTATTTTTTATTTTTATTTAAAAGTCTTCCGAGCTATTAATTCGAATCCTCAATGTTGCACGATATAAGTTGACAATCAAAATAAAATAATTTCTTTTTTTCTTTACTATCATTGATAAATAATTGAAAAAAAAAAATTTAATATGTTACAAGTAAGGGTTTTATAACAATTGTTATATTTAACCATAAAAATAGTTGACTTTTTTAAGTCCCTGTTAATTGAGTGTGTAGACTTTACATTCAATGCTTTTGTCACCATAGTTGAACTACATAGGAGTGTGATTGAATATTTGAATGGCGTTTACTTTGTAAATGAATTTAAATTTAAAAGTTAATTTATAGTTTTATAATTTTAAGATATTTTGAAATTAGAGGTGGTGATGTTAGATCACTACCATAAATTGTAAGATATAATTAGTGTACTGCAATTTACATTTCTCATATATTTTACAAACTATTATATCGTAGATTTATCCACTACAGTTACATAATTCGCTGCGGATTTTGGAAAAAACTCGTACAAGTTGAAATTGTTGCAATATTATTATATTACAAATTGAAAACATAAAGTAATTAGCTTGACTAATTTAAAAGAAATTATTGTAGTTGACTTTGGTGGAATTAATTTGTTGTCGCCTTAAATAAATTTAGGTCGGTTGTGGAGATTGATTCGATGTATCCGGTCCGGTTTATTAGGCTAGTGCACGTTTGACTTAAAAACCGGAACTTTATTCCTTTTTTTTATTCCACCTATTTCATTTGAAAAATAATTACATTTATTAATTTATTTATTTATTTGTAATGATCGAATATAACTTTTTCTATATTAATAAAAAATATTTTTTATTAATTCATCTTGTAAATAACTAAATCGACGTGTAATTAACAATTGCATATATCATAAGTGAATTTTTTGCTAATACAATTAATTTATAGAGTTTTTTAGTAATTAGATTAAACACATAGGTGTCGAATGCAATATATCCTTAAAAAATAGGTTTTATTACAAATAAACTAGGTCTACTATTTGAAGTCAATTTTGGGAAATCTGAGATAAATTTTAATTATTAATGTGGCTAAATAACTAACAATTTCGCACATATAAAAATGACTATATATGTGATTACATATAAATTTACGATTAATAATCAACCGTTATAAATAACCAGTTATAGAATTTAGTTACCCGGCAATTTTAGGGTTAAACGGAATTACCCCAAATAAAAATTTGTGGTGTGACTTTTCTATCAACTTGCAAGTTTGCTATTAAATATAGATGTTGTCATGTTTGGTAGGTAAAATGTATGGTTCAAGATATTTATGATCCCACAACTTAAATGACCAAAATGGGTTTGGATTTTTTGGTGGGTTTTTCGATTTTTTTTTTTTTTTTAAACATTTTTTTTTTGAAGTATCGTAAAAATGTTTGTTTTTTTCCCCTTTTTCTCTCCGACGAATAAAATAAAACGAAAATAGAAAGAAATATGGATGGATATATAATGTGTATTTTTACGTGTGGGTAAATATTGAATATAATTCAAGTTATTGGAAATATCTACAAGATATTTTCAAAAATATCTAGAAGAAAAGTGGTTGGAGTGGAGATATTTTTAATTGAAGCATTTTTGTTCCTTATTTTTGTTTTCCAAATTTTATTTGATATAAAGTTAAAAACTTTATATCAAATGATTTTCTAAAAGTTTTATAGATGCAAATGTATATATGTTCATATCATTCTAATTAATGATTGTCTCTTTAACATTTAAATATTATTTGAAAAAATATTATCAATTATTAAGTACGAATAATTAAATTAGTCGACTCCAAATATAGTGAGTGGATGATATGGAATTTCCTCTTATCCAATGGAAAAAAACAATAGAAAAAAATTTAGAAGGATCGAATGAATGTTCGTTCCTTGTGGGCCCCAGGCCTAAGTTTATAATGCCGTTAAAACTTTAGGCCGGTTTGTTAGCCAGCTCATAGGGCATCGGGATAACAACGACTCTACCACAGGCTCACTCCAAAAGTTTATAGAAAGTATTAGTGCCCCGTAGTAGTAAGGGCTTTTTTGTAAATTCACAAAGAATTCCATATATTTCCGACGTGGTATGGCGCGTTACCACTTAAATACTTGATGTCGTTGTCAAGGCCCATGCCCAACAGTCCAAGACTTTCCCGGTATACGGTTAGTGAGCGAACTCTTGCAGGCCCCACAACATTAACCAATGTACAATCCTTATTGGCAGGGCCCATAACAAAGGTGAGCATGCTCGAGTTGGCTAATCGTTGTCCTGTGTTGGTTCTGACACCATTTGTAACGTCCCTGACTTTTCAACCTGGTCATTAGCCAACCACTGGTCCATTGCGCTCTAGGTAACTGAATCATACTAGAATCATAATATTACAAGAGCTCTATAATATAATATTCTCTAACACGCCCCCGCAGTCGAAACGTGACGAACGTGAAGATTGGACAATCACTTGCTAGCACGCTCCCGCAGTCGGAACGAATAAACTTCAAAACGAATAAACTTCAAACGTGAAGACTGGAAACTTCAAACGTGAAGACTGGACAGAAAACGCGAAACACATCGCGAGAGAATTCCTCTATTGAAATATCTGCCAATTTTTTTTAAAAAAATAATAATAATAATAACGGGTGAGAGAAAAATAAGAAAGCCTTTTTTTTTATGTATGAATCGAGAGAGAGAGAGAGAGAGAGAGAGAGAGAGAGAGAGAGAGAGAGAGAGAGAGAGAGAGAGAGAGAGAGAGAGAGAGAGAGAGAGAGAGAGAGAGAGAGAGAGAGAGAGAGAGAGAGAGAGAGAGGGGTCGCCGGCCATGGAGAAGAAGAGAGGCAGCGGCTATGTTTTAGGCCATGGAGAAGAAGAAGAAGAAAAAGATAGAGAAGATACACCACCGAGAGAGGGAGAAAATTCGGTTTGGTGGTCGCCGGCCATGGAGAAGAAGAGAAGCGGCGGCTAGGTTTTAGGCAATGGAGAAGAAGAAGAAGAAGATAGAAAAAGAGAAAATAGATACACCACCGAGGAGGGATGAGGGAGAAAATTCGGGTGGTGTTCATAAAAAAGATAGAAAAATAAAGATATTAGGAGTACCACCACCGGGGGAGGGAGAAAATCGGGTGGTCACCGCCATGGAGAAGAAACACAGCTAGGTTAAAAAACCTGGTGCTCTGATACCATATAGGAAGAATAGAAGAATATAAGAAGGAGAAAGAGAGAAATAATAATACGTAATAGAATAGAAACCCCCATTATGTTATGGGTTGATTACATGAAATATATATAGAGAAATATTGCAAGGTAATAGAGTTTGACTAGGTAACTAAATCCTAACTAATCTAGGTAACTGAATCATACTAGAATCCTAATATTACAAGAGTTCTATAATATAATATTCTCTAACACGCCCTCGCAGTCGAAACGTGACGAACGTGAAGACTGGACCAATCACTTGCTAGCACTTACAACTAACATAAATTCCACATTTTTTCGATATAAAATGACAATTTCACAATTATCCTAACGAGCGATTGAGTCATCATGATTTATATTTCTCCGTAAATATTTCTCGTGCCAAACAATAGGGCCTATGAAGACGAGATTTTGCTCTTTGTGTAAAATAGAATAATATTTGCATCAACTTGCAACAATTTGGACAAGAATTGTGGCAGCACTAATAATTGTCGTAACTTGTAAAAATGGAGTAATGGATAAGGATGCCAGCTGGCACAATAATAAAAATCATGTAGTTAATGAAAAAGACAAATTATTAGAGAATATTGTGAATATTTGTTTTGGGGGGGGGGGGCGAATTGCCCACTGAACTAGGAAAGAAATGATGAAAGCTGAAGAACACCACTTTTTCATAATTAAATGATAATTCTTTTTTCTAATTAATTTACAATTTATTATTATTATTATTATTATTATTATTATTGTTATTATTATTATTATTATTATTATTATTATTATTATTATTATTATTATTATTATTATTATTATTATTATTATTATTATTATTATTATTATTATTATTATTATTATTATTATTATTATCTCTTTTTTTTTTCTGGGCCAACAATAGAGTCCAAACTAAATAAGAAGCATTGTGAAATTGATGGGCCTGTGTTTTTATTCTGATGGCCCAATTGATGTGGGCTCATTTTTTATTTTTGTGGTTTCTTTGAGTTGACTCAGTTTTCTGGAATTTATATTATAGCCCGTTGGGGAAAAAAAAAAAAAAAAAGAAAAATTGAGACTTATTACCTTAAAACATCTGGAAATCTATTTTTTTTTGGTAAATTACGACCACCGCCTGTGGTAAGGTCTAATTGCAGAAAAAAAAAATTATCGGGTGTAGCATAGCATAAGCCTGAATGAGGCGGTATTAGTTGCCACTAAACTAGTAAAAGAAATGATCAAATTAATAATAATTCCGTCACTAAATTAAATAACAAAAACGAACGAAAATCAAGTCCAATATTAGAACCTAACGAACCATTAAAACGGTAAAATATTGAACAACCCCCTCCTTATTGTCATAATTACGTAAGGGTCCATACCGCCGGCTTTGTAGTGTAGCATGCGTTGCTCGCCAACATCCAGATCCGGGAATGCAATAATCAGAATCTCCTACGGCAACTGTTGCATATTTTCCATCATGACAACACGGCTCGGCAAAATACCTACCCGTGTGTTTCTCATACCATTCTAGTACATACACAAGACCAAAAAATACAAAACGAAAAAAAATGCATGCATCGATCAGATAATCAATCAATCAATATAGGTAATTAATTTCCAGTAGAACCTCGATAAATTAATTGTCTCGATTAAATAATAGTTTCTCCCGGTCCTGTTATTTTTATTTTTTTTAATTTTTTTTATAATTATTTAAAACTGAGAGTCTGTTTTTTTTTTTTTTTGTAATTTTACGACCTAAGACCAAAATGGTGTTAAGGTCAAAGGTCTGAAAACTAACGGCGAGGGCCACATTGGAACAATTTTTCAATTACATCGGGCAAATCGAGAGTAGAAGGGGGTAAAGTGATATTGAGCCAATGTACTAGGGGAAAAACGGGAATTTATCCAAAAATCATTTCTGTCCACGTGGCACAATCTTAGAGAACAAAATAGAACAAACTTTAAGATACAGCCGTAAAGATTAAAAAAGACAACCTTTTTCTTCACCAAAAATTCCGCCCATAAATAAATTTATATTCCCACTTTCACCGACACTTTGCCCACATACACACACATATACTTATATACTTTTCTATATTTCAAGAATTCCAACTAATAACAACCCATTTTAAATCCTCCTTCTATTAATCGATTTATCGAACAGTGTATCAAAACCCCCTTTATGTGTGTGTGTTTTTGTGGGGTTTCTTGATTTTCTTTTTCCTTTTTCTGGGCAGTTGTTGCAGAAGCTTGTTTAGCGAAAATGGAGGCTATAAAGAAGCAAGCTAGTAAATTAAGAGAGCAAGTGGCTCGGCAGCAACAGGTATCAGTTGCTTTCTTTCAGTTTTCATGTTCATACACACACTACGGTTAAATTAATAACTTCGTTTAAATAATAGTTTTTTCTCATCCCAACTCGGTAAAAACCTAATAAGTTATTAGTTCGATAATTTAATATTTCGCTAAATTAACAGAAGTTTGCTAGTCCCGACTGTATTAATTTATAGAGGTTTAACAGTAGTTAAAAAAATAGAGATAAAGTTGGAATCTTGGGTTGGATCATATTTTTTTGTGAAGATAATTTGTTAGTGGCAAATAGGGTAAATAGTGTTTGAATTTGATGGTATGTATATATATTTAGGGTGTTGTTAGTTAGTTCTATGGTTTGGAGATAGATAGTGATCAATTATTGGTTAGAATTTTCATCAATGATATAATTACCGACAAAGACTATACGTTATTGCGAAATTCGAGCGTCGGTGTATCTTCTGTTAATACTTATAGTCATTTTTTTATTTTGAAGTTATTCCTCATTGAAGATTTCTAGTGAACGAACTTCTCTAGCTAGCAACTTGGGTTAACCGTTTTCGTATCAGAATTAGCACTTTCGGAATAATTCCTTTTTTTCGGAAGTGAAAAACTATTTCCAATTCCAAAAAAAATTAGAATAATTCGAAAAATTCAAAAGAAAAACTTGTTCCAAAATCAGAAATTTCCGAGTCGAAATCGAAGGAATTCAGAAAATTTGGTCACCTGTATAGCAAAATACATAATAATAATTGATATCAAAACTATTATTTTTGAAAAAAAAGGAATTTTCGGAAATTACAGTTGGATCGTAAATCAAAATCTAATATGTATTCCAAAAACTTTCGGTATAAAAATCGAAAAAAAAAGAATCAGAAATCAGAACTTTCGGTACAGAATGAAAAATATTGCTTCGCTCGCAGGCAATCCTTAGACAACTAGGGCAATTAGGTCATGGAGGTATAATGATCGACGAAGCTGACGTGGAACTTCATCAACAGCTACAGATTCTGTACAAATCGACAAGGGCGGCAAAGGTAAATTTACGTAAAAAAAAATCATGTCTTTAAATGACGTAGCAAGTGGTTTCTTGAATCTAATGATTGTTGTCTTATATAACTTCAGCTGTCACATTTAAGGAGATTTTTGTTGCACAGCATTTCCAGAGGGATATCGTTCGCGGGCTCGATGGCTATTTATCCACAAGCAAAAAACAAATGGAGATAGGTCCGTATAATTATTTTCTTCCCGAAATTTCGATATATTGATATTTGATGGTGATGAAGAAGGGCGTATAAGTAATTTTTTTTGAATTTTTTTTTATTTTATTTTTGTAGCTAGAAAGTTGGCGGAAGATTGTTGCAAGTATGGGATTGAAAATCGAGAATCGGATTCTCCACTTGCTAAAGTTGCCTCGGATTTCGGTACCTCACATGCGTCGATGGAAGATCACAGAGAAACAATGCTTGGAATTCTTGGTTATCAGGTAACTGAAAATATGTTGTTTTATTCAGATCAGAATAGACCGAATTCGGAAATTCCATACAATTATTTTTAGTGCAAATTACTGCCACCCCCTAGTTATGGTCAAATTACGAAAACACCCTCCTGTTTGGGTAATTACAACCACCCCTCAACTATGTATTTATTATCTTACGAAATAACCCCTCCAGAGGTAAATTTAGGGATGTTAAATCGGTAAAATCAAATCGAAATTTTGGTACGCCGACATTTCATACCGTTTACCGAACTGAATATACGATTTGGTTTGGTAAATAACCGAATTCTTAGTCACCAATAATCTAGAAATGCACAATAATATTGATATTATAAGTGTAATGTCCCGAAGGAAAAAAAAATGAATTTTTGGAAATATTTTCTAAAACTAAAATCGAATTGGAAATTGAAATCTAATATGTATTCCAATTTTGTTCCAAAAATATCAGAAAAATCGGAATTCGGAATGAAAAATTACGTTAATTAAAATCAAAATCGGCGGAATTCGAAAATTTACGTTCCAATTTCCGAATAAACTTTGTGTAGGTTTCTGAGCCACTTCGTGCGCAAATTAGCGGTGCTCCTCTAGAAGATGCTCGTCATCTCACGCACCGTTACGACAAAATGCGTCAGGAGTTTGAAGTTCAGGTTCGCATATTTTAATAAACACCATTTTTTTGGAATTTTAATTTACTCGTTCATCCTAAAAGACTTTTTTTAAAACTATATATTTAGGCAGCTGAAGTAATAAGAAGACAATCAAAATCCCGAGAATCTTCCACTGAAAATGCCTCAAAAATTAGAAATGCCGAAAAAAAATTAAACGAGCTTAAATCTTCGATGTTGTCCCTCGGAAGAGAAGCTACTGCTGCTATGTTGTCTGTTGAGGATCAGCAACAAGAGACGACCTTCCGGAAGCTTCTTACCATGGTATCAACTTTCTAGAATATATATATTTCGTTTAAGTCGTATTAATTATTATTAGTTTGCTTTCGATTTTCTTTTTTTGTGCAATATGGGATTTTACATAAGAGTTTTGCTCACAGGTGGATGCTGAGAGATCTTATCATCAAAATATTATTGCTATTTTGGAGAAGCTTCATTCCGAGGTTTTTCGTATATATATATTGAATAGGAATATTCTTTTTTCGTTTAAGTGGATAAATTTTTGGTTATTGTTATATTTTGTTTTTCGTTGTTTATAACATTAATAATATTTACTGTTAGATGATTATGGAGGAGCAAATGGAAGAATCTTCATTGCAATCGGAAATTCCACCAAGAGACGATAATATTCCATCTCTTAATAATGAAATTGTTTCGAATCGATCGGCTGGTCAAGACGATGAGCATAAAAGTGACATCTACTTTATTGCAAAGGTGATTTTCTTTTTCGTTTTTTTTTTCTTTTTGTTTTTTTATAATTAATTTTAATATTTATTTTTAGGTGATACACCCGTTTGATGCTCAAGCGGATGGTGAGCTAAGTCTTGAAATGGATGATTACGTCGTTGTTCGACAGGTAAATAATAATGGTATTACGGGCAATTTTCAAAAGTCGAAATGCCCTTGATTTATTAAATTTGTAGATTTCCATTTACTATTTGCTCCCTATAGGCGGATTTAAATGGATGGTCCGAAGGGGAATGCGAAGGTAGAGCTGGATGGTTTCCCTCTGCTTATGTAGAGAAGGTAGACAAATTTCCGACAAGCAAATTATCCGAAGAGGAATCTTAAATCGGATCTTCACCGTAAATAAGATTCTCTAGTGTTGTTTTGTCTCTCATTGTGGTGAGTTTTTTGTGCATTACATTTATACAACGTGGGAATTATAATTAATTGCTCCTCGCGATAATTTGGTGTTATTGGTGTGTGTGTTTGTTTTGTTTCGATATGAAAATGCAGATGCACGTTTTTTCTTCGTACCGGAAATATATTTCGGCCTATATGTAAATTGATTGGTTAATGATGTGTTGGTAATGATATTTACTTTTATGCCCCTTGCTTAGGACAATTATTAAATTAAGTGTCGTTTAAGGTTTCGGCACACCTATTAAGAAAGATGATAAATAAACATGGATCTTAGGAAAAATATATGCAATATGACTAAAATGCCCTTCCGACTAATTCGATCCTCCACTAACTATTTGTTTTATGTGTGAGAATCAAAATTTGAAATAATTTATGAGTAATGAGTGCAAAATCGAAAAAAGTAGTAATTAATGCATTATTGGAATTTTAGTGTTGCAGATAAGATGGAACAGAAGAATTGTGCGAAAATCTTCAAGTTCTTAACATAGTCGATTAGGGATCTGAAACATCATAATCTTTTTTTGTGAAGTTGTTATCTTTTATGTCTAAGAAATCGAAACGAAAAAGGGAGGTGTAAAGAAAGCAAAGATCGCATAAATGAACCGCGCCTCGTTTGAAAATTCCTGCAAACTGATCGATGTTCATGACATATCACCACTAGCATTCTTGTGGAAAGAAAAAAAAAGAGAGGACTTTATTAAGTGGTGAGATGCCATGAACACGATCGGATTGCAGTAACCTTGTAATTTGCTTGTAGGAATTTTGCGGAAGAATCTTCTAGAACGTTCCTACAAACGGATCGCTGTTCATGGCATATCATCGAAGAATCCCGAAAAAGAAAATTGGATGGATGAGATGCCATGAACAAGACCTGATTGTAGGGTTCTTTTTGTGCTCCCCATAGGTTGGTTTGTTCATTTCGGGTTTTGGTGAAAGGCCTTTATATAGGAGTTTTTTAGGGCTAGCTGTGATTTCGGTTTCTTTTTCCATTTAATTGTGGTTAATGTAAAAGATATCGTCGCATAAATAGCAATTAAAGTGTGTGTGTGTGTGTGTGTGTGTGTGTGTGTGCGCGCGCGTGTGTGAGGCGGGGTAGGTACGGGGGATATATTCGTAAAATCGTTCTTGTCGCATAATCTATAACGGGTACAAAATTTAATATCGAGCTCATCCCATTAGCTAATGAGGCAGGTATTACTTGTCGAATTTGGAAGTGTTGAAATTGATATACCGGGGGCGTGTTGAAATCGATATACCGGGGGCGTAGTGAAATTGATATACCGGGGGCGTGTTGAAATTGATATACCGGAAAAGAAATGCGTAGATTAATTAATTTATTTACGGTGGGTTTAGTTCAATTTGTCAATTTGTGAAAAAACCATGACTTCTTCTGGTCCAGATCGAAAGATTTTCAGTATGATTTTATGCATTTAAATTGATGTGTAGAGAGGTTAGATATGATTGTTAACACAAGAAATTTTATTTGTGCCACTTCACTTTCTATCTCCATAATTAATGGAGGAGATCATGTCGAAAATCAGTAATTTAAAGTTTATATATGATAAATTAATACAATCATGACTAATATTTTTTATTAATTTTGCGAACTACTAAATTATTATCGAACTAATAATTAATTTCGTACATTTTTACCAAGTCGAGACCAGAAGAAATTATTATTTAAGCGTATCGAGGATTACACCAGATAATAAAAACTTTAGAAATTTCAAGAATGTGATTTCTGCACAATTCGTGTAAAACAGGACATTTCAGCTTGATTTTATCTGTAATTAAAAATTTATTTCAAATAAAATAAAATAAAAAACTCATCATTCTACATTTCCACTACAATTATAATTGATGATTATCCTACGATTGATATCTGCAGATGAATATTTCTCTCAAAAAACATGAACCGAATCGCCTCCTACAAACAACTGATCGAAAAGTCCGTAGTATATCAACAACTAGAGATGGAAATATTATACAAAAAAATGTAGTCGAGTAACAAGAATCATTCACTATGCAGAGACACCGACAAATTTGAACAGTTTCATATACAGTCGATTCAAAGGTAAAGATCGAAAGACTGACCAAAAATGTCATTTACATGAAGAAAGAAAAACCTGATGCAGCGGAGCTAACTGAGGAACCTTTTGCTTTTACGTTGAGGAGAAAGAATGAAGAAATAAAAGTCAGGCCCCACTCTGTTACCATGGTTCTGAACTTGGCCCTTCAATGGAGTGGATGATAGAGTTGGTGGACCCCACTTTGTAACCATGGTTAAGCATCTTTAATCAGAGTTGGAATCGTAGAAATCACTAGGGCATGGGGTGGTGACCTCGGATTCGAGTATTTGAACCACCCTGTGCATGGTGGGGCGATCCTCGGGAATTGAAGAAACGCATTGGATGGCTATTGAAAGTAGGGAGTCGAGGCTTTCTGCTTGAACTCCTTCACAGTGAGGATCGACTATTTCTCGTTGTCTAGTTTCTGAAACTAGATAGTTTAACTGCAATGTGGAAGATAGATTTGATGGTATGAAGAGAGGATGTAATACAAGCTTATTGAGAGTGAATTCAATAATATGAAATTAGATTTTATTTCTTGCAAACATGATCACAAATTACATATATTATTTTCAGCCTTAATTATACACCCGGGAGATTATCTTCGCTAAATTCAGAATGGTCAAGATTTTTGTCATATTGAAACTTGGCCAAGTTTTGCAAGGGAATGCAGAATGAGTGAACCATAACATTCGATGTTAGGCCGATTACATAAAATTTGCAGCAGCTCAAAAAGGCTAAAAAGAAGAAAAAAAAACCGATGTACAGCAGAAAGAAAGAAGGAACACATTCGTCATACAATAGCGATACAAAATGGGTAGTTCCGTGAGTGGGCAAGGTTTTTCGTTTTTAGGGTTTTGTCATAAGATGATAGAACATTTTATCGATATTCAGTAAAGCAGTAAAACTTTTATTGATGAGTAAACTGCACATTCTTAGCCACTGAAAGCTCATAAACCCATATTGAGGAGGAAAGAAACATACCCATCCAACAATGTTGAGTCCCTTCTCGATGAAGGACGCATCAGTAGGCCGCTTTCCACTCAAAATCTCGAGCACTAGAACACCAAAACTATAAACATCAGTTTTTTCCGTAGCTCTTCCACTCTGCATATACTCTGTTCAATTAAAACATTGTTGAAGAATGCATCAAATATCTGTAAATCTCATATTTGAGAGAGAGAGAAACAAGTTAAGAACAAAAAACTAGTTAGTTACGGTCCTTACCAGGAGCTAGATATCCAAATGTGCCAGCAACAATTGTTGTGATGTGGGATTCCTCATCCTCCAATAATTTGGCCAGTCCGAAATCAGACACTCGAGCATCGAAATTTGCATCAAGCAAAATGTTGCTTGACTTGATATCACGGTGAATAATTCGAGGGGAACAATCATGATGCAGATATGTGAGGCCTTTTGCAGCTCCCATTATAATATTTAGCCGAGCCTCCCAATCTAGTTGTTCACCTCTCTCTGCATTGAGATATATAGATAGTATAAATGTATTGCGACATAAAACTCATTTATAATAGCACAGATGGTACTGCAGGGACCCAATATCAAAAAGGAAACAAGTAAGCTCGAAGGCTTGTGTATTTCGATTCCTGAAAATTTAATAGAAATCATATTTGGGCTTTAAAATATTAAAATGAATGGAGTCAAACCATGAAGAGCTTCATCCAAGCTGCCTCCTGATAGGAAATCATATATTAACAATTTGGATGTCGGGGAGTTGCAATAACCTCGAAGGTTCACCAGGTATTTGTGTTTGATGCTTCCAAGAATTTCAAGCTCCCTTTCAAAAAAACGATCAAAACCCTCATTTACCTTCACTATCCTTTTCAAGGCAAATACATTGCCATCATCCATTGCAAGCTTGTACACTGTTCCAAAGCCTCCCGCGCCAATTACATGCTCTTCATTTAGATTCTCCAACTTTTTTATGATATCCTTCGAAGAGTAGGGCAGGTCCCCATGGAACATTACAACCGAGGCCCCTGATACAAGATTTAGACATAAAAAAATTGTTCTTATTATTATTTTAAAAAAAAAAGTAACAAGGAGAACAGGTCCGGGTTTTTTTTTTTTTTCTTTTTTTTTTTGTGGAAAAATAAGAGGAAGAAGAAACTGCCGATATAACTTTTCATGCAAAGGTGTCAGATCTGTACCTCCACTGACATCCACAGCAAGGCCTTTGTCATCGGTTTTATCAAGCCTCTTATACATGTAACAGCCCCAGAAACACATAAGCGCAACCAGAAGCAACACACCCACTGTGGCCAGCGCACTTACGAGAAGCCTGCCTGAATTATTTTTCTTGGCCTGGGATAGGTCTAAAACACGAAAAAAACCCAAGGTCAAAAGCTATTCCGGAAGTACAAAGCAATCAAAAGGACATAATATAGTTTCTAATTAGGTTTATGCTTCACATCAGACTCCACATTTGGGTACTAAAAGTTATCTGCATACTTAATATTTGCAAGACGAACAATGTAGGATAGAAAGGTACACATGTAAGGTGCTTAAAATGCAGTTTAAATCACCAACAAACTACATTAAGAATTTATATCTCAGCATTTTCTAATTGCTACAAATAGTGAGATTTGAGTTGACAAGAATTCATATTGAATGTACAAAAAGTGGTTCAGGAAAAAATTTCATGTTCGCAATTTTTAACTCATATTTATGCCTGGTTCATAAGTTTAAGCTTATCAGACAATTTGGAGGTTATAAGTTTTCAGGTCTTGACTATGATGTTCAATTCAATTTGGCCAAGTAGGCTGAGGAAATGCCTACAACACAAACATTATACCTGAATCAGTAGGCTGAGAAAATGCCGAAGAACCACCACTATTCTTGCATACCTGAATCTGCTTACCACACAACTCACGGTTGCCAAGAAAGCTGCAGAGAGGAGCATAACATCAGAAACGTAAAGTAGCAACTGAAGTATAACAGAGAAATGAAGGAAAAAAGAAAAAGACCTTAACTAGGACCAGAACAGAAGGGGAAAAAAATAGTTGTTAATACCTATATGAGCTGTGCACAATATGCCATAGTGACAGTGATTATTGCATAGAAAATTAATACTTCCAACAACTCTTACTTATTTAGAATTGACTTGCTTTAGACCTCGTAGTCTGGAAAACTATATTCACTTCTCTAAAAGATATCCGCTCCTATTTCAGCTTGGTAGGTTTGGTGCATCACTACAGAAATCAACAGTAAAGGAATCTAAAAAGAGAGAAAAACGAGTGAATGACATGGAGAACGTTAAACTTTTCTTTTCCATTTCGCTTGAGGTTAAAGTTCAAGAAGCGGCATAAAAGTAAAATTATCATACTCCTTTACTTTCTTGTTTTCTATTAATCTTATTAGTTTTATTAGTATTCCAGATGTTAAAAATTTAAAATAATAGTTCACTTAGTCAAACAGGCGAGGGAAGAAGCTAAATATGTGACACTGTAAGTAGCAGGAAACAATAAGCATGGGAACCACATTGAGCACATTCAGAAAAAATTATCACTTACGAATCACTTTGAAAGTTTGCAAGAACACCATCAGAGGGTATTTGTCCCACCAGAAAATTTGTTGATACATTGCTTCAAACATCATAAAAGATACTGAATTAGAACAAAAAAATAATATATGACTAATACAACTTTGTAAAATAACAGGTCACTCACAAGCTTGAAAGTTTGCTTAACTTCCCAAGTGAAGCAGGAATGCTTCCACTGAGAGAGTTGCTTGAAAGATCCCTGAAAATGCACCATAGGAGTAGAATGTTAACTTTGAGAGGAGTTTAGTAACCTTTCTATGTGTGCATTTGCTTAGGTCTGATATTATATTATTATATTCAGTAACACAACAGCTTTAAAGAGTTTTCTTGGGTTACACATAATAATCAATCCCTTCATTCTTGGAATTCTATATGAATTAGACACTGAGTGAGATAATCATTTTTGTCAGAACTCCGTGTTGTCTTAGTGTCTTTTAGGAAACAATTGTTCTTTGTCAGAGATCTGTGTTCTCTTTGTAGGATACAATAGTTCTGTCCCATATGGACGAACTTGATAATTCAGAAATTTCAGTATAATACTTACAGATTTTCTAGCTGAGGAAGGTTTCCCAGTTCAATCGGAATGAACCCACTTAAGTAGTTACCCTGCAAAAATCTGTAAAAATGGAAAGCAAGAGCTCACAGTTGATCCAAACAGAACAAACGATAGGAAAAATAAAGAAAAGGTGGCGAAGAAGAATATTTATGGAGATCTCTTAAACTTTTATGTTCGCCTCTATCATCACAAGTCTTTGATCATACTTCAAGTCATCAATTCAGATTTTTTCACAACCGACAGAAAATTAATGTTCAACGGAATTGTAGAAGAGACTGCCATAGCAACACTGCCATCATCAAGCTGACTCGACTTTTGCACTTTTGAGAAATTTGTTTTATCTTTCACTCTACTAATGAATAAAGCAACAGTCAACACTGAAACAATTAGAAAGTTTGGTACTGAGGTATTATCTGTACGGGGTAATACTTGGGACATATTGAAGCACTCTCTAACTGCACATAATATCCAAAGCTTAGGCCATATTTGTTCCTTGGACTTAGTGCATAGAAAGTATTTTCCTCTATAGAGATAAAAGTAGTTTGCGTTTTATTTTAACACTCTATTTCCTTTTTCTTATCAAAATTCAAGCTTCAATCATAGAAGTAGAGAATTTTTAGTCACAACCATAGCAAGAAATTTATGCATGAAATATTTTTGCTCTAAATCCTTCAGTAGAGACAAAGAGATCGCTGGAGATCATATCTGAATACCTCAAAGTCGAAATAAAATCCAATAATTATGTCAACAGCTTTTAAACTTAGAACTTAAGCTAGCAATTTTACGAATGTTATAAACTAGAAATGGGCCACTTTATCTACTTACACTGATTGCAACTGCGTACAGTTCCCCATTTCTGGAGGAATTGCCCCATATAAATTGTTGTCATGAAGAGCTCTACAAACAAGAAGTGCATCTCGGGATCAGCAAGAAGTGTGTTAAAATGCCAAAGAATAAGAAGAAAAAGAATCATACAGAAATTGCAGGCTTTCGAGCTTCCCGATATCTGGTGATATAGGCCCACCCAACTTGTGGTTAGGGAGGCTCCTGCACCCAGAAAGTATATCAATCACATTTAGTACTAAACTTATGCATAATAGAAGGATAATATATGACTTCAGTAAGACTTTCTGACATCCTTAAATATCAAGGAACTTACAAGGCTGTAACTCTTTTCGACTTGAAGTCACATTTCACTCCTTTCCATCCACATGGATCCTCATCTTCTGGTCTCCACTGAAGCAGGACTCCATCTGAATTAGTTATAGATGTCCTAAAGTTTACAAGAGCTTGACCTGCATATCAAAACTAAAGCATAAGCATTCGTACTTCAATAGAGGATGCTTCCAGGATCAGACACCAGAACTAGGAGATTGTCACTTCTTTGGCTATGTTGCACATATTAGAAAACCAATGGTATGCCATTAGTTGCTACGACCATGCAAGCCATCTTAAAGTTGAAAAAATAATCAAACAAAAAGTATTTGAGAGTAAAATTTGACCAGGCTATATTGCATAGCATAGATGCTTAGTCCACTTGATAGGAGACAATTGTGAACAATGAACACATTGCAATATTTTAATTGTTGGGTTTTGTGTTTATATAGATGTAGTGTTCAGTGAATGCCAAGTATCACTAGCAGACTGTTGGAAGAATCGGACCATTTAATTCATCAGAGTCTACTTCCCCAATGATAATAAAGTGCTAACGAAATTGAAAAGAAACTAAACAATAAGTTAACCAGCATACCATCAGGACTCAGAGCTTCAGTTTCTTTTGCTACAAAGTAAAGTAACAGGATGCATAAAATCCGCTGCTGATAATACACTGAGAAACTTCCCATTGTGGCTTACGTCAAGCATAATAAGATTAACACAAATCATCAGATGCTTTAAGCTGTAAAATGCTTCCACTGAACATGCAGCAATAAAGTTGTTCAAGCCATAAAGCAACCCCTTCAGGAGTTATAAATACCTCTGCAAAATAAATGTATGACGTAAGTTCACAAAAATAATGAAAAAAAATGAGAACTTGCAGGAATTAACTCCTGCTGTTTCTTTCTCTGATAGTATTGATAATGCAGCAGCTGATGTCCTAATGTAAGAAAAGATGCTTAAATACTTGAGAATAATATTTCGAGAGTTGTGACCAGGGACACCTAACTATCAAGTAATTCGAGCAAAAATTCAACCACCAACTAAAATTTATGTCTAAGTTACAGCTAAACCATAGCTAAAACTATTTACTGGTCTTTCTTTTACAACTCTTTATTGGTTAATGTTGAATGGGGTGTCGAAAGCTCATGTACACATATTGCAGATATTACTCAATTCATGTGGCATCCTTACCCCGGTTTTTAACATGAAGCAGGTTTGATTTGTGCCATGAAAATAAGTCAAGTAGAAGCGCGCAAAAACCAGCACAAAATTTATTCGAGAACAACCACGAGGCACAAAATGGTGAAGCTGCAATACACAGAAGGTTCTTTTAAAATAGCTTCGGAAATCTCTTGCTGAATTAGAATTCAGATGTTTAAGTAATGCATCTGATCTACTGGAACTTTGTTAGTCTGCCAATCAGACTGCTTACAATTAAAATAAACAGGCTTTTGGAGGTTGAAATATCACATTCCTTACAAACATCTCTGCTAATTCTTTGAATAGAACAATCAATAAACCATTATACAACAACAACAACATGAATTGAAAAAAATCAAACTAACTGAACTTTGCATGAGGCTGGTTAAGCATTATACAGCACTGGTTCCCCTTCAATTCCTTCTAGATGGTTATACCAATAAATTCATATTTGATACCAACAGTACGGCTACATTACAACAGTAAATATTTCGTAATCGGCAATAAATCATCTCTGAGGAAAACACGCAACTATGCCGATACATGAACGAAATAAGTATGGTATGCAGTATGCCCATCCAATTGAAGAGAATCTAAATGCCAATTCACATGGAATCAGAACTCAATCACTCGTGAATTTTAACAGCTCAATTCCACAGACACACACACACTAAGATACACTAATTTCATCAAAACTTCGCCCAGTTCAAACCGAAAAAAACGCATCATCAAAAAACCAAAACAACGTACAACATTCAGAAGCTCAAGGTACTACTACTAAGCATGTAACACCTTCGACTGATGAACTATTTTCCGGCGAATGTGACTACAATTACGGACCGAAAAAAAAATCAAAAAAAAATACCTGGAAGGGGCAAAATATCAGTAGCCAGTAGAAGCAGATTTGATCTGTGCAATTCCAGCTCAACTAAGAGAGAGAGAGAGAGAGAGAGAGAGAGAGAGAGAGAGTAGAGAAGGAGACAGGGAAATTGAGAGTTGAGCTGTAAAGTTATGCAATCGCACCAGCAAATTAAAGGACCCCTGTCGTCACCTTTCTCTCTCTAGAATTCCGTATGTATGTATCTGTCGTATATGTATATGTGAGAGTGTGGTAGTACTAGTGTGAACGGAGAAGAATGAGTGGAAATGGTTTAGAGAGAGAAAATATAGATGCTCGAACTAGAAGGAGAGGGAGTGGGGGCGGCACGTGCGAACACGACACTCCGCACGTGCGGCCGACGCCCCCACCCCGTGTTGCGGTGGCGTCAATGTTTATGTACGTGACTGAATTGACTATTTTGCTTGTTAATAAATATTTGTGACAAATTACAAGTTAAATTAGACATACCTCCCCTATATTTTCATGTAATTATAGATAGACCCTATCCAATTTGAAAATGTACACATTAGCCTTCGGGCCTGGGCTTCCGTTTATACAACCAAAGCCCAATCTCTTTTAGCCTTTTAAGTGCATGTCAATGTACTTGGTTGCAAATTTCTTTGTTTTTTAAAAAATGGCAAAATTACGGTCACCTCCCTAAGTTAAGATTGTATAAAGAAAAAAACCCTATTTTTAGGGTAATTACCATCACTCATCAACTATTATTTTACGAAAAATTCCCTCATTTAATAGGTAAATTTGACACAGTAAGGATTGACGTGTAAGACAATACATAATTGAGGGGGTGTTTGGATTTTTTCGTAATTTGATTTTACCTTAGAGGTAAACATAATTCGCCCAAAAGAAATATAAATTGTACTTCAGTGTGACCGTGCCGAACTTTTAGTTATAATTCCAAAAAAATATACCAATTTCGGTAATAATTCCACAAAAAATCGAAGGTTGGAATTTTTAGAATTACGATGAAAAACTATTATTCCAAAAAAAAAAGAATTGAAATTCGGAAATAGGTTCAATTTTCACCCATACTTATGATTTGAGAACAATCCGTAATTTTGGAATAGTGATGGGACCTAATCTAAAACAATAAGATATGTGGGCTACAAATAGAAATAATGAAAACTTTAAGGACCAAATCCATAAATTATTTATTTTACATTCTCCACCCCCTTCTATTCAACATTTACACTTTCCACCGACCTTTCCTTCTGTAACAATGGCGACCACGAGTTGACACGGGCCCATCCCCACTTCTCCTTCGCACAAACTTTTTCCCTGTAAATTCATCTCGAATTCCGTAGAATTGTCCGGTGTTAATTTGGTGCCCTAATTTTCCGACGCAGCGAAAAAAGTGAGGAAAAAATCGATTGCAAAAAAAAGAAGATGACGAGAGGAAAACAGAAGATCGAGGCACAGAAGAAGAATGCAGAGAAGAATCAGAAGGGCAAAGGCTCGCAGATCGAGGCCCGCGCTGTTGGCCTCAAAGTAATCTGCCCCATTTGTAAAGTAATTTCTCAATCCGAATTTTACATTACGCTTTTGATCTCTCTCTCTCTCTCTCTCTCTCTCTCTCTCTCTCTCTCTCTCTCTCTCTATATATATATATATATATATATATATATATATATATATATATATATATATATATATATATATATATATATAAATAT